TTAATAAATGACAAATTAAAAAGGCATGAACATTTTTTTTGTATCGAAAAAATATCGAACCGTGACACCAAAGTATCGAACCGAACCGAACCGTGAATTTTGTGTATCGTTGCACCCCTATCATCCTCATATATCTATGGCTCGAGCATGTGGCTTACACATTTCCCTGCCAAGCGGAAGATCCCCCGGTTCAGTCTGGGAGGAGACACAAATCCCTTTGGGGTTGTGTCAGGAAGTGCATCCAGCACATCCAGATCAAACGTGCGGAGCTACCTGCTGTGGTGACCCTTTGCGAATAAGGGAGCAGCTGAAAGCAACTTTAAAACCGGCCTTTATATGAATGACATTTTGGAGACAAAAGCAAAAGTATACAAAAAACAAAAACAACCAAAAAAACTCCGTTTGGATTTTTTCAAACCAACAATCTGAAAAATATTTGGTTTAAACTGAAGGAAAGCAGAAAATGTTCCAGCATGTGAAAGAGTGAAGTGAAGCGTTCACTCATCAAAAACACACCGCGCCCTTCCACGCAGGCTGCTTCTACTCAGTACAATAGCGTGTTTACTGTCCCTCTGACATTTTACTGTGTTGACATTTAGTGTCGCTCGATGTACAGCTACACACAGATTTTCATTCTCGGCGTGATTACATAACTCTGTGACTCAGCACTACAGCACACATGAATTAGTAACTTGCTTCATATTTACAGTGTCTCAGAAGAGCTGTGAGATATTTTTAAGTTTAATGCACAGGAAGCACAATATATGCAACTGATATAAGCAGCAGAGACACTAAGATGTTTTAACTTGCTCAGTGCAAACCTTTTAAATAGAAGAACTTGTCCCAAATGAAAAAGGAAAGAGTCTGATTGATGTTAAATAGGAATTTTCATTTCAAAGAATTACTATAAATCACTGAGTATCATTCTTATGATACAAACCCAACAATAGCTGGCCAAACAGGAAAAATACTGACTCTTATGCATAGTGAAAACTTGCTTATTTCTGACAGTTTCAGAGCTTAATACATATTATTTGTTTGTATTTACAGTAAAAGAGATAAAAAGAAAAGATAAAAGAACATCGTCTGACGTCGCACCAGAGCCATAAAGCCACAGAAACAAAATGATCATAAAATATCTGCTTAAGTGCCAAAAAGGGAAACATCACCATACTGAAAATGATTAGACTTTTTGAAGATGCATTAAAGAGCAGACAGAAACTAAACTCCAAAGCACTTTAAATGACTCCGAGACCCATCTGGATTTATTTAACATGCGCTGGCTCCCTCTGAATTTGGCCTTTGTTCGTACACAGCAGATAACTGGTAGGAATCCCTCAATACAAATGCGTGCTCATGCATAAATCATAGATGGTGGTGCATTATTCATCCAGTCATCTCCATACAGAGTTACACTCTCCCTTTATTCACTCTCCCTAAAATTTTCTACCTTTAATTCCACCGACACCCCGACAAGAAACGTTCCGTTTTAATAATAGCAGGCTTCGTGCCCTTATCTCGTTCATAACGTGTGACTGTGCGTGAGTGTGTGTGTCAGCGGGGCTGCAGAGGTGTTGACAAAGGTGATTGCGTGGGTGCTGTGAAAGTAAATGTGTGTGCGTGTCTGTGGGTGTTTGATACGGGCTGCGTGGTACGCAGCTGGCGGAGGGTGTGGCAGAGTTCAAAGAGGCGTCGCTCTGTGTCATCAGGTCTCACCGGCTGATGCTGAGGGGCAGGATTGTAATCAGCGAGGTGGGGGGGGGGGGTCAGACGGGATGATGGACGAAGAATGAAATTCAAAGTTCAGGCAGTAGGTGCTGCGGATGTAATGGTGTAGCTGGTGTGTTTTAAAAAGTGCTGACGCTATATGTAACGATTGATTGTGACGGTGTCGTTTCAGAGGCATCGGGTTACATCTGCACCGCACCATATGAGGTAAAAAGCACTCACTATGTAACTGATCAAAGGCATAGACTGTGTACAAAAGATGGAAGTAGCCTCGGGGGTCTGAAAAGTGACCACAGTAGGGAAATGCCCCAAACCTGCATTCTTTGTAATGGACAGCAGAGGCACAAAGCACAACAACAGTTGCCTCAATGTGCTTTATATTATAAGGTAAAGACTCTACAATAATAAAGACAAAACCTTAATCAGATGACCCCCTGTGAGCAAGCACTTGGTGACAGTGGGAAGGAAAAACTCCCTTTTAACAGGAAGAAACCCCCAGCAGAACCAGGCTCAGGGAGGGGCGGCCATCTGTCGTGACTGGTCGGGGGTGAGGGGAGGGAGACGGGGAAAAAGGCACACTGTGGAAATCCAGAGTGGTGCATAAAAACAAAAGGTGAACGAACAAGAAACACTCAACAAGCCCCTGGCAACCCAGCAGCGTAACTAAGGGAGCACTCAGGGTTACCTGATCTAGCCCTAACTATAATCGTTATCAAAAAAGGAAAGTTGAGAGCGTGTCTGTCTCCCACATTCAAATGCTTGCACGCTTCAATAAATCACTGGACCCGTTTCTCATTTTCCCAGCAAAATATAAAGAAACGAGGTGTGGCTGAAGACTTTAGCAGAGTGCTGCACACCAATGTGGTGAATACGTTAGAGGCAACGAGATGTCCACTAATAGCCAACCATTAGCTTCGAAGCAAAGGGAGAGTAGTGAATCTGTATCCTGTATATGTGGACAAGGCTTAAATAGTGTGGTTCACAACAGCTGCTTATCCACAGACATTAACATCCACCTACCAGCCCTTATACAGCTTTCTTACATCATATACACTTTCAAGCTCATCTAATGTTCTTCTCACCACCTCTCCAGCAGAAAACACATTATAAAGTCATTTTGCCTTTAATTACAGGTTGATACACTTAATCACAGTGAGAGAAGTTAATAAAAAATAGGGTGATAGATGTTTTTGATATGCTTAGACTGGGTCATTTACATAGCGCCAAATCACAACAGCGGTTGCCTTGAGATGCCTTTTTTTGGTAAAGACAATAATTAATAATAACTGTGTTATAATATAAAAACGTGACAATGTCTTTAAAAGCTGTTTTTGGTGCGAATAATTGGTCAATTTAGCCGACTGCTAGGTGGTAGTTAGGCAACATGATGACATCATAATATCTCATCTAGACAAGAACCTTCAGGGGCCTAAGATGCATCTGAGCAGCGACTCATGTCAATCGTTTTACCTCCTTGGTTCCAGTCACGGCAGGATCCTTCTCCATCGCCCGCGGTCATTCCCAGAAGAGCATTAGCAACCCGCAGAACAACACCGTCAACAAAGTCCCGCGGGAGAGCAGCACAATTTCGCACCGCTTCGACGCGATCTCGCGGCTGGAACCCGGCTCCCCAGGAGCTCCCAGGGGTGCCGTTACAGCTTCCGTCCCCATTGCAACAGTCCTCGTCATTACTGACGTCGGACCTCTGAACTGTGACCCCGGGAGCAGTGCAGCGGCTGTGGATGTAATGAGCCCTTTGTTGCTCTACCTCAGGTTCATCAGATAACTGATAGTTTCTTGACTTTCCTAAAAGACACACCTGTGGGGAAAAAAGAAAAAAAAAAAGAGCAGAGTGTGAGGGCGACTCCCTGTTTTGGTTTCTTTTCTTGTTATTAAGTTCAAAGAAATCATACTTTTTCTTTCCATTTGAAAATGTTCCCATGAAATAATTTTGTGGGAGAGCTTTTGCTGATATGAGCAAACTGAGTGTTACTGATGAGCAAACAGCAAAGCCCAGAAAATAATAGCTTGTTCTTTTTATGGCCACGAGTATATTGTAGCTATTAATGGCTACCCGCTAACAGATTTATTGTTCCCTCTGGGATTATAAAGACATCCTTGATTTATTGTACGTCTACACTAAACGAAGCCCAGGTGGAGAAAAGGCTGGGACGCACAGCTGTATGATTTACTTCAGCCATCCACTGATCATAGCGCTGACAAGTGTTTCCACATAATCCCAGGATTGCAAAAACATGCAATGAAGTTACTGACTTCAAGCTAATCGCATGACAGCAGCTGGTCAAGACAACCTGATGAAGGTCCAAGCTGTTTCGAGCTGACAGGAAGGTAACAGTAACTTAAACAGATACTCATTCCAACCGAGGTGCAGGAAGGCATCTCAGTGCACAACAGATCCAGCCTTGAAGCAGTTGGGCTACAGCAGCAGAAGACCCTACTAGCTGACAGGAAGCTGAGGCTACAGTTCACACAGACTCTCCAAACACACAGCAGACTGGAAAACCATCGCCTGATCCAGTCTCAGTTTCTGTTGTGACATTCAGACGGAGTCAGTATATGGTGTAAACATGAAAGCATGGATCCTGCCTCGGATCAACAGGAAGTCTTGGCACACTCAGTACTAACCAAATGTTAAACACCCCAATCTGCATGTGTTTTGTTGTTGACCATGTCCATAAATTCATGACCACAGCGTAACACTCCATGTCGCAAAGCTCAACGTGACAGCGAGTTCCCTGTACTCTAAAGTCCTCCACAGTCACCAGATCTCAACCCAACAGAGCAGCTTTGTGATGCGGTGAAACGGCAGATTCTCATCACGGATGTGCAGCAACTGTGATGCTGTCTTGGCAACGTAGCCCTTTTGTGCTATTCTGAAAGAAGAGTTATAACTTTCAGATCTGTGCAGGGGAGAGATGCAGTTGAGGTGCATTATGGGAAACGTCATAACTAAGGTGTGTTTTAATTTTCACAAACTTTTTTACAACCATTTCAAACCTGCACCTATTACAGAACCCCACCAAACGGATTTCTCTCTTTATTTCTTTCCCTCGCTGTCTTGTATTAATTATTTGATAGCTGACAGCAGAGCTGCGCGGTAGACGGGTGGAGAGAGAAGAAGAATTCACGAATTGCTGAACTAATACAATGTGATTTGTTCTGGCGCACAGACTGAAAGAAGAAGGAAAAAAAGACAGAGGCACACAAATGTCAAACAAATGTTTACAACAAGTCAGATGGATTTGCTGTGAAGCCGCCTCCACTCTGTTTCTGTCAGCCTACCCGTTTAGTAGAAGGTATTCTCAAACAGTCTTCGTCAGTGTTGAAGCCACAGACTTGGCTGACCTCAGCGATGAAGTCGATGTATTCCTTGTACTGAGACTTCTTACACTGGCGTCTCTGGTATTTTCCACAGAAGTCGAAGAAACAGCAGGGGAGGACAAAGTAGCGGCAGGAATAAGACGACCTATAATTTGAAAAAGAAGGGACAAAATAAATCTACACAGTGCCGATCATTACTCTTTAATGCAGTCAGACTACAGAGGACTTGTTTTACTTAAGCATTTTTCCACCTTTACTCAAACTGTTCAGACAGGAAGCGACACACACAAGAAATCATCATCTGCAGTCTCAAACAAGGAGAAATCTGACTCCTCACGCTGAGGCTCAACATCGCCATCAGGTGGCCGTTTCAGTAAACGCACACACACACACTCTTCACACATCACCCCCTGCCCATAATGTTATTCCAAAACTGGAGAGATCAGCTGGCACTTGAGCTGCTGAGTGTGATTGTGTCTCCTGATGACTCGCCTGGCTGCTATAACGGGGATCCACGGTGTGAGCTCGTCCGAATGGTTCCCAATCAGCCAGTCTGTACCCGGGAATAAGAAGCTCTCGCTGGGAGTAATTGCCTTTTCCTGAAATAGCACAGACCCAAAGAGCACAAGAGGTCCTTAGAGCAGGAGGGATGCACACCGGTCTAATTTAATATCATTTAATAGAAATAAGTCTTTTTGACTTCTTAGACTTTTATTTGAGATGCATTTAAAGTTTTGGGTTGGGTTTTTTTTCTTAGTGGGCTCAAATATTTTTTATAATTGCAATTAGAAAACAACTACAAGATCCCAACAACTTTTTTTAGAGAGTTTATATAAATCCTTTCATATTTAACAGATGGCCCTGACACCAACATCACAAATGATGAGAGTTAAGAGCCTGTGAAGTCCAGAGAGCTTCCGAATAAAGGTTGAGGACTGAGTGCAGCTGCCCCGGGGGCGCAGAGAGATTGTTCTACCACATCCGCTCCGCTAAAATCGGTCAATAATAGATGACCTGAAATGGAAGCAGCTTGTTGTTAAATGAGCGACTGAGGACAGGAGGCAAACGGGAGAAAGCGGCGTTTTCAGGGCAGGTTTCTCTGGAAATGTGTGTGTCCACATGTGTATGCAAGCTTCTGTGGCAGTATTTTCTTTGTGCAGCTTATTACAATCATAAAAGCAAGAATCTCTTAAGTATACCACGAGAAATGTACAGTGCTGTGAAAAACTATTAGTCCACAGAATAATCGCATGGATATGATATGCTTGGATAGATTTTCGTTGCCCTGAATAAATTAAATCCTCATTTAAAAACTGCACTTTTTATTTATTCAGGTTGTCTTTTTCTAATTTCTAAACACATAAGAAAGAGGAAAAAGACTTTTTCACAGCACTGCAGGTGTAAAATTCTCCCTGATCATTACTTTTACATCTTTATGAATGCTTCATTGTACTTTTTAATTGCAATAAATTGAAGCACAAAGTGAGGACACGGAGTCGAACGTTTCATGCTCGGCTCGCTCACCTCCAGCAGAGTCTGGGGGCCGTACATGTCCCAGATCTTCCTCCTGCGAACATCGATGCCCCTTCCAGGGTGCTGTAACACAAGATGGCCTGACGGTCAGAGAGGCTAATCAACCTCAAACACATTCACACACTCAGCCAAGTCAGATCAAAAACATTAAAATTTAGAATGTACCCCTTAACGACAATGGCCGGCCGATATGTTTCTACTACCAGATCTGGACCTGCCCCGGCGTTTTCCCCTGTCTATAAAAGGCTGTCAGTCCACTGTTTACCTCAGCTGCTGAGTGAGAGATGTCCATCTTTATTTACGCTTTACTTTGTCAAAGGAGATCGATACGGGTTGAGCTGCTGTTTTTGCCGCTGTTAGCTCCTGTTAGCCAACAAAGTTGGAATCAAACACTTACTGAATTAACTCGCGATGTGAGAATGCAATCAAACTGTTTATCAGAGGGAAAGTGTGACCTTTAAACTCTACGTTATGCTAACTGTTGTTGTTGCCAGCTCATTGTCAGTTGCCTGGAGAGACGAGGGTCGCATTTCTAATCTGTAGAAAATATGTAATTGGGACAATATCTGGAATAAATCAGCATAGTTATGAAAAGTTTTGTCTTCAGTTCAGGAAACAAGGTATGAGATGTTGGTTTGGAAAAATATTCAGCGATGCTTCATCTCCTGCTTTGCGTTTGTGTGGGAGCCCCGTCAAAAACCTGTCCATTATCCATTATGCAGTGTCCAAGCTTTCTTTTTTTTTTTTTTTTTTCATACTGCACCTCCCCTGCAATGGCTCTGCGCCCCCCCCTAGGGGGCGGGCCCCACACTTTTGGAAGCTCTGCACTAACCAGTGGCCACTTCTATACATTTTTAATGGATCCATTCTAAGTTTATACGAACATATCAGTTTGTTGAAAGAGACACTAATCTATGTATAATTATGAGTACAACAATCTTTCTTTTTTTTTTAAAATCAAATAAACTAAAAGGAAATTACTGACTGTACCTTTAAGACAGCACTTCTGGCTTTCCTAAAGCTAGTGTGAAATGTTTTATATGTGACCACCATATACAGGGTTATCAAATATGAAGAGTGTTCTCATACTGTGGATGATTTTGAGGACTTTGTGGGCTTTGGGTGAGAATGTAACCAGGAAGTAGCTGCTGTTTGATTTTCTTCTAAATTCAAACAGTGTTCAGTCACCAGTGTGCAGAACAAAAGCTGAGGATTCAGTCACTCATAACAAAGATCAAACACTCGGTCCAGCGTGACGATCTGGCCTAATAAACTGCTGCTTTTACATGAATTCATCAAGCACTGAACTCACCCCTTCATTGGTCAGAATGTGAACCAAGAGGCCATTTCCACAGCCGAGGTCCACAAAGGACTGCCTGGCAGTCAGACCTTTCTCTGCTCTCTCCTCGGCCCACAGCACCTGCAGCAGCACGGTGACACAGACTCATGGTTAGGGAGTGACAAATGCTGCTGATGCTGCTGATACTCGTAACCTACGGATGGATTCCTAAGGTCAAAGGTCATTTTTCACATTCAGGTTGATTGATTTAGCTTAAGTTGCATGACCCTCTGCATGACCTGCACACACAGTACCTGTATGGACGTATTTGTTAATTATTTCAAAGGCTAATTCAAGTATAATCGTGATAGGATCCACTCATTTGGTGAAAAGAAGATTATTGGAAGGTTTGAACTAACCAGGAGATACGTAGCAATAGCAACATCCTCATACACAAACTTTTCAGGATCTGTAACCTCAGGCCAAACCTGGAAACAGTGTGAGAAATATATATGAATATATCACCACAAGAGAAAAGGACGTAAACAAAAGAATAAACAAGCCTCACATCATCCAGTCTCCTCACCTTCACCATGGCCTTGTACTTGTCCTTCAGCTGTTGGTACATGAGGCTGTACTTCTCCACTGGCAGCAGAGACAACGTGCTCCTGAACTCGCTACTCCTGCACTCGGTGGCCCAGCGCACCAGTTTAGGCAGCAGGTCAGAGGACAGCCAGGGCAGCTTGGGGTAGGCGACGCCATCAGAGAACCAGGAATCGACCGACAGCGCAAACAACTCCAGGGACCTGCAGATAAAGCACAAGTCATCTACAGTGTTGTGCTCATTTTATGCTAACTATACTAACATGTATATTAACTGAGAGTTTGTGACGTCGCTGCTCCGAGTTCACTTATATCAATATCAGGAGGATTTTTAAATATGAAAAAATAATTTTAAATATTAATAAGAAAAAGGAGATAAACCCAAAACAAATTAAAAAAAACAGAGACAATGTAACAAAGTTTGAACAATAAGAATATTAAATTTTCTTATTGCTGTTGACACTGAATGCCAGACCCATTTTTAAACATCAGTGGTGGACTACAAAAATAATAATACTAGATGGTGAAGACCCTCAAAAAACCCCTAATAACTTGTCTTTCATTCATACACCCACTGTTAGAAGAAATCAAGACTCAGACCAGACGAGATTTTCCAGTCTTTTCTTGTCCAGTGAAATGCAGCCTCAGTTTTAACAGGAGTGGCACCTGGATTGCTCTTCTGCTGTAGTAGACGATCCACTTACATGTTTAATATGTTGTGCACTCAAAGATGCTCTTCGGCATATTTTTGTTATAACAAGTGTCTATTTGAGTTACTTTTGGCTTCCTATCAGCTCGAAGAGGTCTGGACATACTCTGACCTCTGACAAAAAGAAGCAGAGCTGCAGCTCATTGCATATTTTTTCTTTTTCCACTCCATTCCCAGTAAACTCTAGAAATGCCAGCAGATCAGCAGTTTCTGAAATATTCCGACCTATACGTCTGGCACCAACAACAAAGCCATGCTCAAAGTCACTTAAATCACCTTTCTTCCTCATTCTGATGCTCAGTTTGAACATCATATATACACATATGTATAATCAACCAGTAAACTATCGTCCAAAACAAGGCATTTCGTCCTGTATGTTCTAATGTGCTGTAAAGATGATGACTGCAGACTCACCATTCCTCACAGTCCTGATTGCAGAGCTGAATCTGATAAATGTTGCCTTTCCTCAGAGACGCTTTTCCCTCTGCATCCTCTTCAAATGGAATAAAGGTCACTCGCTGTCTACCAAAGTCTGCAGAGAACAAGAGAGAAGGCATTAGAAAGAAATATAACTGATACAACAGTTTGCAGAAGTGAGAAGCTCTTACCTTTCAGGATAATTTCTTTATGCAGGTTTGTCCCATAACAGTTTACTTTGGGAATAAATGTCCTGACGCTGGAGGACCATGGTTTGTCGGCTTCGTGGGCAGCTGAGGCCCCAGTGATCATGAAGAGCAGCACATCTGTGAAGAGTTCAAGATCATGCAGCAGGAGCCGTAGGTCGTCTTGGTCCACATCTTTGCTGTCTGTCTCTTTAACTCCACAAAGACGCTTGTTTACAACATGAGGTTTCTTTATCCACACGTCTACGGCTGACCAGAAGCCATCGGGGAGACTCTTACATCCTCCCGGGAACTTTATATCGAAGAGCTTTGGCATAACTGAGCAAGCGAAGCATGTGTGTTTACAATCACTGAATCAACTTCCGGACAGGAGGGGTTTTTTTTGGGGGGGGGGGTTGCACCGATATATGTTTCCAAGAACAATGAAATGAAAAACGGATCATTTACGATAAATCCTACTTTGGTCCAAAAACCTTTTAAGAGCTTTATTTAAAAGAAAAAGCGAGAGGCAGCTAGAAAAACGCACTACTATGTCGCTGAGTGATGACGTTTACACCAGCGACAAAACTCTATCATCTACGCGGCATGCCCAATAGAGGGGGCTGTTTATCTTTGTCTGTAATGACTCTGTAGTCATTCAGGGGTTTGGGGGGATGTTTTTGTTTTGTTTTTTGTTTTACTAAATAGCGAACAAGTCAAAAAGAAATCACTAAAAGTATAAGAAGATTATTTGTAGCCTTCACTAAAGCTGTTTTTGTACTGTGATGAGCTCTGAAACCTGACTGAAACTCTTCAAATAAACCTTTGCTCTGCCGATGATCAGTATGCTGTTTTACAAGGTTGGAGATTGGCCTAAGAAAGCTAGGTCAACTGATGGCTTTTTAAGCAACGATTTAACTTCTACCAGCTTGGATGTCTGTGGTATAAAGTAAAAGTAACGAACACAGTGTTGGAGTGTTGCACAGTATAGCAGATTAATGTGATTTTTAGCGGATGATGCTTAGATTCATTCACCGAATTCCTCCTTCGTACCAACTTTATAATATCTATTATAAGTTAGTATGAACATTGTAGTGTCAGTGTAGAGGATGGATGCAGTAGCACAGATCAACTGATCACAGCTTGTGCATTAAGAAAATGCTGGCACTCTCTATAGAACCTATTCTGAGTTGTGAGTTCTTGCCCTTCCTGAACCATTTCAACTGATTTTAGGATTAGTCGACACTAATATATAGATTTCTTCATAAAATTAAGGCAAATCATTAAAATAATCTCAGCTCTTCATGTTTCTTCTCGCTGTCTTCAAGCTTGGACTCTTCCCTTTCTTCTCTTTCAGCATTTGTGCATTTCTTTGGCAGGCTTTATCAAACATTGTGTACGAGCCTTGATTTTTTTCTTTCCGTGTCTTGAAGCTTGCATTGTATCTCTTGATTTATAGCTTGCAATTCTTGAATTTTGCACTTCATAAGTTGGTGTGCTGCCTCCTGCTGTTCTTTGTCTTTCAACAATTGAGCATTTCGTGTCACTGATTCTTCCAACGTTACTTGCAGCCCTTCATTTTTCTTCTCTTCCACTTGAAGCTTGCACTTCATCACTTGGTGTATAGCTTCCATATTTTGAAGTTTGCACTGCAAATGTTGTTGTATTTCCTCCTGCTGTTCATTCTCATACAACATTTGTTTATTTCTTTGATGTGCTTCATCAATCATGTCTTGGATCTTGATCTCCATCTCAGTGCTTCTTGCTTCTCTTGTTTTCAGTTCAGCTTCCATATCTTGAAGCTTACATTGCTGTTGGTGTATTTCCTGCTGCTCCTCTTTCTCTTTCATCACACATTTTTTGCAGGCCTTTATTTTTGTTCTCCATGTCTTGGAGCTCTGACTACACGTCACGATACTTCTTGTCCACCTGAGTTTTTTCCACATGCCTTTCTTTAATCCTGTTCTCCAGGTGGAGTTTTTCCCTCACTACATTTATCAAATGCCTTTCTGAGTGCTACAAATCCACTCCACTCAGGAGCGATGGGGTGAGCCTTTTTTCATGTTTTTTTTTTTTTTTTAGTATCTCAATGCTACAATTCTTCTAAGAATCTGAATGTTTTCGAATTCTTCTTAGTTGATACTGAATAATTGATGGCTGTGAACATCAAAGCTGCAAACAAACAGACACTTGGGCTGAAAATGGAACTTTACTCTGCCTACTTATAAGTTCAGACCAAAGAAAGGTGAATTTTATATCCTAAAAATCTCCCAAGGCTGCTGCTGAGGTCAACACTACATGTGCAAATTAGCTGGTCACATGACACTTTTGAATAGGGGATTTTTTTTTCTATTTTATTTTATTTTATTGGAAGAATTATAAATAAAGTTACAATCTCTGCAATTATTGTGACATTCATATTATTATTTACCGACTCATTAACATATTTATTTTCAGTGGTCATCACATATAGAAAACTGCACATATAGAATCAAAAGTCAAATCTAATAAGAACAGGTCAAATGTGACTTTGTGATTTTGCTAGCATTTCAAAGGGTTTTTCCTGCTGGACGTTATTATCCCGATTCCACAGTGTCCTCTCGATCTCCCTTTTTCCTGAATGAGTGTGTCAGGACACCTTCTTGCTGGGATGAGCTGTTGGAGCTTCTCCTCACCTGGTGCTGCTGACTCGAACTGGCACACAAACTGTCCATCATTAGTTACCTGCACGTGTACGAATCAGCTCTTCATCCACTCATGTCCAGCTCAGTGCTGCACTCAGTAACTAGTGCAGCTCTAGGAAATCATCTTCATTGGCTGTTTTTCTCCATCGCTCTTAGATCCCCCCTGCTGTGCCCGTCTAAAAGAAAACTAACTGTCTGGGAAAAACTTTGTTCACCTGCCTGCCTTTGGCTCAAACCTGTTCTCTTGTGTAATCAAACCTGGTTCCTCTCTCACCGTCTGCCTTTGGGTCCAAAACCCAGTGCCCATTTTGACTGTAACAATGAACTGAACTGAAATCTAACCTACAACACTAAAAACGGTGCACCATCTTTCTCCCATGGGAGACGTATTATGTCTCTGTTAAAAATACAAGTTGTGGACATTTTCGAAGGTTTGACCCTTTAAACTTTTTTTTAAAAAGGAAGAAATTTGGGCGACACCATGTGTCCTCCAGCAAATATTTCCTCCGTGGTCCCATTAAAGATGGATTAAAACATGACCTTGAGTTCTCTGTTCCTTGGCCATAATGCACAGGATAAACAGCTCACTGTGTGAAGAAAGGTTGATTAAAGAAAAGAAGAAGAATCTTAAAAAGAAAGAAAGAAATAATGGCCCAGACTTCAGGAATCGCTAATCAAATATATAAAAGTTTTGATTCATTCGTAAGCGTGATCACTCCTGGGCTATGGTTTAAATCTATGTTACAGCTATAAGCACTAAAAGAGATTTTAAAAAATAAATTTTCTGTTGTATACATGGTCGGCTTCACCTCTACACCGAAACAGAAAATAAGAACAGTCAGGGGTTAAAGTGAGATTTGGCAAGTGGTACAGTGTGTACACACCACTGACACAAACGGTTTGAAATAACAAGATGTTGAATGAACTTGTCAAAGTCTCCATTCTTTAGCCGTCTTCCATATATCTTATTTCTCTTTATGAGGCTCTTTAAGATAATTAACATTTTCTGACAGGGTGAACCCAGCCCAGCCCAGAGGAAGCACTGGCTCCAAGTCTCTTATTTCTTTTATTTACTCTATAAATATGAGTCTGACTGTGTGTGAGTTACAGTGACAGTGAAGACTATTATATTTCTTTCTGCTTCTGGTCTTTTCAGTTCAGACGTGTCATTTTTCATTTTCACGGCAATGATTTGTCCGTGTAGAGTTGCAAAACACAAGAGCTGGTGAATGTGAGAACTTGTAAAAATTAACTAAAAAACATAAATATATGAGTCAAATATTTCTGTGTGTAAATAGCAGTCTACACATTACTAAATATTTTTTCTGTAACTCATTTCAAAAATACAAGTTCACATATACGAGTTCTCACACTTTTCAACATATTTATCTTCAATAAGTCATGTTTCCCCTTTATTTTTTATTATCTGTCTCTTTTTCATCCCCTTTTGTTTGTTGTTCAGTGTTTTGGATGGATACTGCCTGTCTTGCTGTGATATGAGCTTCCAGCTAAGCTTGTGTCGTATAAATGAGAGTTATGCCCAGTGTAACAGAAAACCATCAGATTTAGGAGAACAGGAAACATCTCTCAAGATTCAAGATTCAAGAGCTTTATTGTCAATACAGTAGTATACACAGTATACAGTGTACC